CCACGACGTCGCCACGCCAAGAGACGCCTCATGGAAAGGAGAAGGGGAAAAAACGAGGCGGAAATGGGGCAGCGGTCTCGAAGGGAAAAGGGACACAGAGAAAGAGAGAGTGTAGGGAAAGAAAGGATGGAAGGGAATATGTGAAATATGAGGTAAGGAAATTCACGGCCTTTCTGCGTCTGGTGTGAGAGGCAAAGGCTTGTGGCGGGGCGGAGGGCCTGCGCGCCCGGCAGGTAGGCAGCGCCCGCCCCCGCACGCAGCGCTGCCCGCGCGCGGCCTACCTGCCGGGCGCCCAGACCGGGCGCGCGCAGCAGCGGCGAGAGAAGGAGAGGGACGGCGTGATGATGGGCGGCGGCCGAGTGAGTCGTCCTCGCGGCCCCGGGCCGGCCGTTTAGTTCCCATGGCCGAGCTGAGCAAACACTTTAAATTCGCCGTAACATTGGGAAGCGTGTGAGAGAGCGCGCGGGACGAGCCGCCGCGGGCGCGTCGAATGGCTGCACGCGCGGCCGTCGCACGTTGGAGGGAACCGCCGCGCGTTGCAGCAGGAAGAATGCAATTTTCTGCGTGTACTATATCCGATTCCGTCCGTTCAGTCGGCGCGGCAAAGCGGAACAGTGGCCGAGAGGCGGGGCGGGGAGGAGGAGGAGAGGAGCGGGACGTAAATTTTAAACACCACGATCTTTTGCACGGGCCCTTTATAACAGGTCCCTGCTTGGGCCCCCGAGGGCGACGCGATACCACCAGCCACACCACCAATTTTTTGCTCTGTTGTCATATTTATTTTTTGCCGAGGTTAATCTGATGAGCATAAGAGCGACATGAGGGAGAAAGAAAGAGAATGGTGTGCGAGCGGCGCGAGAGAGTGAGAGAGTGCAAGGGGGTGGGTGCTTGTGGGACGGTGAGTGAGAGAGAGAGAGGCGGGCGAGCGGGCGTAAAAAGAGAAAGTGTGCGTGTATGTGTGTGGAGAGAGTGAGAGAGAAGTGAGGGGAGGAGAGTGAGGGGAGTGGTCTCCCACTGTGGTAGCGGTGGGGTGCTGACAGCGCTGATAGAGATATCAAACTGATGGCATCACCCCAGCGGACCCTCCCCCTCCCCCC